TATATCAGTACAGATATACAGTATGTAGCAATACAGATATATGTATATTTGTTGAATTCTAATGGTGTACATACTAGCAGAGCTGTATACTTCTGCTTGAGAAGCTACAATCACACATTTAAAAACCTGAAGGCATTCATGGTATCGGCATTATTTCATGTTCGCTACTAATGACTAATTTTAGGGCAGTGATATAAGTACCTGTCCAACAGTTATCATCAGTAGCCGAATACAATGTTGACACAAGCCGTGGATGCCTCAGAGAAGGTTTTGTTATGACAATACAGATGGACCCATAGACTCTCCTTTGGTTCCTAAACTCATGTCTGAATAAATCCACTGACCTTCCTTCTCAGGTTAAAGGAACACTCTGGACACCAAAACAACTACAGTTATGTAGTTGTGGTTATTGTGCCAGGAGTGTTTATTTAATCCCTTACCCATGAGTAGTTCAGAAATGCTCTGAGTGACCATCCAGGCCTGGAAGAGAATCTCCTCTTTAGGTCTGGTGCCAGATGGCCTATAATTATCCATTCATGGACGACCATCACAACAAAATTTTAAGATATTATAGACATTTGCTACACAGCATTTAAATAAACAGAGTTTTAATAATATTTTCCCTTTAAGTTAATGCCAATTTATTTTTCTATATAACCCCTGCATGAGAGAGCCATGAAATATTATTGTCAGTCATCCCTCTACTGCCTTTTGTTGAAATAAACTCATATGATTGATTTGATGACTGAGTCATATTTGTGCAATTTATATTCACTCTAATCCCTGGGTCACACATTGTGTAGATGACTACCAGCATATTGTACGCCGCTCAGCTGTCATTCTTTTCTAACTAGTACATATTGATTAGGACCCCTGTTTATGTTTAGACAGTGCAGTTGTGGCTATATTTAAATCCTGCAAGATAATTTAAATTGTTAATGTTTTTTGAGAATTATCTTACACTAACAAGCATTCTAAAACACATTACTGTTTTCAGTTAGAAGTAAAACACATGCAATGCAAATCAAGCTGCAATGTTAAAGATAATATAACTATCAGATATGGAGACAAACTGGAAGAAGAAAATTAGATGGAGAGGTGGGATGAAGAAAAAAAGATAAGGGGTGCCCAATGTGCACGGGCATAATGTTGCGTTATCATTGTCAAAATTAGTTAGAAGTTGAGGTGACAATCCAATAGACAGGCATTTTATTTGTGAAGCTAGAAATAAAAATGTGGGCTTAGTTATATCATGTGCATTTGCTTGCTTTTTTATTTTTTTAAAGAACTAATTTTAAAAAAACTAACTGGGCATAACAAGTAATTTTTATATTCTTTAAAACCATTATATGATAAAACATCACAAAAAAAATGCTCTTTGACAACACAAATGGATTTAAAATTTTTTAAATCAACTCTCCAAGTACCATAACTACTTATGCTATGGTTGTAAGTTGATAATAAGGGTAAAGGTTATGGTGCAAGGAGTTCAATTTGTTCGTTATAGTTGCCACAATATTCAAAAATCAATTCATGACTCACAACCATCTCGATTTTGGTGTGACCGTCCCAACTATTAATCCTCTCCCACCGTCCCAACTTTGTCCCACTTTTGGGGCCAATCAAGTAAAAACATATGGCTTGAAAAAAGGCAAACATTGTGTCGAAATGTTGCCTGCCATTTTGGATGGCTGACTAAAACTCACATTGCACTTGAAATGAACGAGTGCTGGAGATTTATTGCTTTGAACCACTTTTGGGGATACCAGGAACTATCCTCAAAAAGTGAAAAAGTGCTTCCTTTATGTACTGCTTAGTGGGCTGGCTGGCTGGATGGCTTAATTGATAGGCAGACTGGAGTGGACCCCAGGTAAGTTGTCATACCATTTGCAAATGGTTTGAATACTTACCCTAGAAGGGCGCCAGGACAATTCTTACATCTTAATCAATAAAGCACTCTGTAGTGATTATGGGTCTTAGTCTTTAAACTGCTTGTGGTAGCAGAACTAAATAACTAAATGTAAATATTCATAAACTAGAGCTTGTTATGGGCTTATACAGGGCTGTCTTTAATATTGATTGGACCCTGGGCAAGAATTTACTTGGGCCCCCTGGATCCCACCTTCCCACACCCTAGCATGCAATCACGCCCTTCACCACAACACACACAAAAATGTGCAGTGTGTGAGCAGTGGCGTCCACACGACCCATGGGGCCCCTGTGCGAAAATGGATCCAATGGGTGTGTCGCACCCCCCCCCCATGCTTACTCTGCGCTGGCCGGGGCCGCAACACATGGCAGCGGGCTCCTGGCCGACAACCAGATCACATCAGCTTAATCAAGTGGTCTTGGTGCCAGGTCCCTCTAGTTTTAATCCTGCAGCTGAAAACATAGCAGTTTCTGAGAAACTGCTATGTTTCACTCTAGTGGCTGTCTCAAACACACACTCACTAACAGACATTAAACAGACTCACTAACAGACACACACAAACTAACACACTCAGTAACAGACACACTCAGTAACACTCACCGACACACACACACACACACACACTCACTGACACACAAACTAACACACACACACTGACACTCGCTGGCAGACACACTTAATAACAGACACACAAAATAACACACACACACAAACTAACACACTCACTGACACTAGCAGACACACACACAGTAACACACATACTGACACAAAAACTAACACTAACACACACACACTCTAACACTAACACACATACACAAACACATGTTTTTTTTTTAAAAAATGTGATCCCCCAGCCTCCCCACCTTTGGGAGTGCTAGGGGATTCCCTGGGGTCCAGTGGTGCTGGTGGGTGGCCGGTCCTGTGCGCTCACAAAGGAGCACTGAGATCCTGTTCAGCTCCCTCGCGCGCCGCTTACTGATGCCGGAGCTGGAATATGATGTCATATTCCGGCTCTGGCATCAGTGTGGTGCGCACGAGGAAGCTGGGCAGAGACGGCTCAGGGGAGAGTGCTCCCTCGCGCGCCTGCCAGCCCGGTGACACCAGGGCCAGCCTTGGGCGACCCCAGTATGTACGCCACTGTGTGTGAGTATATATCAGCCAACCGACTGCTTTGCCATAGGAAAGCATTGGGAGGCTATTGCGCATGCATGACAAAACACTGTGCTGCACCAATCAGCATCTCCTCATAGAGATGTGTTGAATCAATGCATTTCTATGAGGAGTGTTCAGCGTGAATGCCAGTGCTGCACGTTGTGCAACACTGGACTAGGAAGCACCTTTAGTCGCCGTCTGATGAGTGGCCACTAGAGGTAATCCTAGGCAGTAATGTGTAAATATTGCCTTTTTCTGAAAAGGCAGTGTTTACATTAAAAGGCCTGCAGAGACATGATATAGACACCAGAACTACTACATTTAGCTGTTGTGGTTCTGGTGACATTATTGTAAAAATTACAAATAAATAAAAATATGCACATTCCTAGCTTGATTTTTAGCACAACTTCTGACACAAACATTTTGTACTTTGCAGATTACTTTGTATATGTATAAAAAAAATATATAAAAAGTAATCTGTAAATTACAAAATATTTGTGTCAGAAGTTGTTGTAACGGCACCCCGGGCATAAAAGGGGTTAACAGCCATTTAGTAGATCTTCCCCTTCCAGAGACACAGGCACAGCTACTGTAGACACCAATCCACTGAACCGGAGAAGCATATGAATGCTCTCAAATATACGAATGCTGTAGACAGCTGAATAGGAAAAACCATACGAATAGGTTTACACTCCTAGCAGTCAAACTGGAACAGCATACAATAAATCCCCCCAAGAACAAGATAAGGCTCCGTTTTCAGGGTCAAGCAGGAACAGACAGAGCTGTGGGTTTATTGTTCTTATATACACCTTAGTACCACCCACAGGGTTTTGGAACACAATCAATAAACACATACAATACACTCAGACACCCCCACACAAAATCCTCCCCTCTGCCTCTGATACAATTACCTTACACAATGGGTAATGTAATTATCACAAGCAGAAAAATAAAATTTTTGCACGTTATTCACAACTTGAAAAGTATTCATCACTAGTGATGTCCCGAACGGTTCACCGAACGGTTCGCCACGGACTCCAGTCAGCAGACACATTCCAGCCAATCAGCAGCAGACCCTCCCTCCCAGATCCTCCCACCTCCTGGACAGCTCACTAAGAATGCAGCTTCAAAATGGATGTTGTCCAGGAGGTGGGAGGGTCTGGGAGGGAGGGTCTGCTGCTGATTGGCTGGAATGTGTCTGCTGACTGGAGTCCGTGGCGAACCGTTCGTGAACCGTTCGGGACATCACTATTCATCACATTCACATAAAACTTAAATTTTCAGAATCAGCATACTCCAAATACAAACATATGTCAAAATCATCCAGATTGGTACAGTGGTTCAAAAGATAGATCGTAGTCCTTTGTGACCAAAGGAAGCATGGCTTTTCTGCCCAAAACCAGTTCCACAGAGTCTTCTATCCTGGAGATAATTGTGAAGTAATCCAATTATCTCCAAGGACAGAGGCAAAACTCCATTGAACACATGGCAGCAAAAGACAATAAAACACATAAAAACATATAACTGTGCAGCCATTGCACAAAACAGGTACATTCAACATATCCCCAGATAGCTCAGATCTGAGCGCACATTATTACTGAATGGCGCTCAGAGCACACACATACAGTTCAATTGCCATGGAGCCAAAGTCTTTCCCATAGTCTTTCATTATACGAATGGGCTCCATGGCATAGCTATCTGGGGTATCACCGCTCAAACAGGGCAAGCACCAAATGACCCGGCTTTCGTGTCTTTGCAGGGGAAAATCAAGCGTTTCAACATGGGGCCATAGTCTAAAGGCAGCAGGCGGGCAACCAGGCTTCTCCAATGCAATGTGGCGAGATTGCTCTCGTCACAGTTGTGCTTTTTTAATTTTTAGAATAATGACACAGCCATTTTATTTAATACATTTGTGCTAATTTCTGTGTTGGTTGGAGGGGGTGAGGGGCAGTATTACACAATCTATATATGTATAAAAAAATATATATAAAGATTGTGTAATACTGCCCCTCACCCCCTCCAACCAGCACAGAAATTAGCACAAATGTATGAAATAAAATGTCTCTATCGTTATTCTAAAAATTTAAAAAGCGTAACTTCTGACACAAATACTTTGTACTTTACAGATTACTTTTTTTTTAAACAATGTGCAGATAGAGATAGTATAGTACTAACCCCCAACCCCTTCTCCAACCACCCCTCCCTAATCCTCCCTCATCCAACCACCAAGCCTCCTAACCCCCATAAAACAACCAAGTTATATATCTTCAGTTAATTACTGTATTTTAAATACTTACGGTTCTGAAGGCAGCAAGCTCAGGGATCACTGCTCTGGGGCCTGGGCTCAGGGTTCTGCTCTGCGGTTGAAGGAGACCAGCTCACCCTAGCATTTCCGCTACTCCGCCTCCTCATGACATCATGAAGGCAACGCGCGTACGCAAAAGGCAGGGGAGGTCGGGAGGTGGAGCAAGTAGGTCCTTCGACTCCTTTACTATGCAGCGATGCCACTCGCAAAGTGAAGGATCGGATCGGGGGGAGGGTCGGCAAAAAAATATTTTGCATAATATTGTTGGGTCCCCCCAGGAGCAACTAGGCTCGGGGCAGCTGCCCCTTTTGCCCTGTGTTAAAGACGGCCCTGGGCTTATAGTGATATGAAGTGTGAGGATCAGGATTGGCTGATCAATCAAAAGCTAAATAATAGCCACAGATTACAAAAAATAAATCAGAAAACTTTTTTGTTGTTGCTGTTAATGCATTAAATTGTGTGCTTTCTAGTATTTTTCAAAGCACTGTCATATAAATGTTTGCAATTTAACCTTGAATATCTTTACCAAGTATAGTATTTTGAGATTTCTGATAGACACCTATTATGTTTGTATTATCACTACATACGAATGTTACATTGAACTGTTTCAGCAATATTTAACATTTTCTTAGCAATGATTATTTAAATGATATGACTGTATCACAGCAGATGGACTATATCCGCTTGAATCTTGCGTTCTCAGTACTGCAGACTGACTCCACATTGCAGTACAGACAAATGAATTGGGACTAATTTGCACAAGATGGGTTAAAAAGAAATCCAAGATACAGTTAAATTATTTGAATGATTGGAACACTTTTTTTGTCCGATAAGCAATTACGAAAGAAACAAGTAAACATTTAAGGAGTTTAGCGGCCTAATGATGTTTGATTGAACTGGTGCTCTATTCTGTCTTGCGAGAGATGGCTGCACAGCTATTGAAAGCTCTGACGTGAGATATTTAACCAAAGCCAGCTGTGGACTTCAGGAGATGAAAGCACGAAATCAGACAGGATAAGTACAGTATTAGTGTGGGATACGCCACTCATTGCTGATTTAAATTACTGTTTGCACTTCCTGAACTTATGGGAGATGTGAAGCAAAAAATAAAGAAGCTTATGCATGGAGGGTTTTTGCAGAAAATACTGGAAGAATGTTTTGTTGACGATGGCTAAAACCAATGTCTCCGGATCTCTGTCTGCACTAACTACATCCAGTGGTGCCCTCTTCCATAGTCAAAGTCCACAAGCCGCATTCGGAAAGGTGACATACATGTGGTTAATATTTTGTTTCTGTAGGTGTGAATGCCAGGGAGGCTGTTTGCCTGGAGTAATTGTCTAAATGTAGTGCTAGTTTAATAGAGGCCTTTATTTCACAGTGAGCTGCGTGCTTGCTTTTCTGTGTACTTTAAAAGTGAGCTTGTTTTTGCAAACAGATACTAAAGGAACACTTTGTGTTCCAACACAAACTATCTTAGTAGAAGAAAATGATAGAGGAGTCGTTAGGTGTTAAAACACTGTGTTCCATTCATAAACCAGCCCGAAATACCACAAATATTTGTACTAAATTGCGGGCAGATGGTACACATCTTTTATAAGGACGTCACATTTCCTCTGGGTACTGTGTGGCAGGATTTAACCTTCAGATCAAGAACAAGGCTGTGATGCTCTGCTTAATCGATTAAATGCTCTAATGTTTAGGGATGTGCACAATTGATAATGATCAAGGATTACAGAATCAACTGGCAACCACAGCAGATTAGGAAAGGGTTACCGGTAATAAGCTGTGTCTATTTTGCCTAAATTCTCTTTAACTATTGAAAACATGACCCACTAAGGGTACAATTATCGTCATAATTACATTTTAGAAACTAAATAATTTAGTTATGTTTTGCAGTATTTGTACTGAAATAGTCTGTATGCTAAAAAAATTCTAATAAAGTAAATATGGCTAAATAATTTAACTAGTATCAAAGGAACACTCAACACACATAAAGCACTTCAGCCTGCTGAAGTGGTTTATGTGCCTAGATTCTGTAATTTTCTTTACATTTTATAAAAGTACCGATTTCAATAGAAATCAGCACTTTTATAAATGAGGGCAGAATCGTCTGGTTTTCTTGCGCCAGTTCATTGAGAAGCATAGAAAAGCCAAAATCTTAGTTCCAGTGCAGAAACTTCTCAAAGAGAAGACTCTGATTGAACTATTGCCGGGGACAGACTGAATGTCTGTGCTTGTAAAAAAAAGCGAGGGCTTGCAAAGGCCACAACCAGTGGCTCTACAGCTTTTCCAAGCTGTTTTGTTGTTTTTTTAATATACCAGCAAAGAAAACATGCAGAAAAAATTACATGCATGTTTTACTTGATCATATATCTATTAAATTCCTAAAGATTTTTTATTTGTTTAGGTAACTGTTCCTTTAACCATCAAATTCCACTCTATGTAGGGTATATTTCTTAAAGGTATTTAGAGTGTATGTGAAGCAGGACTTGTGTTGTTAAAGGGACACTGAAGGCACTGTATCTGCTTTATCTCATTAAATTGGTTATAGTGTCTGGAGTCCCCTGGTGCCATAATGCTATTCAGCATTAAACAGTTTTTAATATTTTTATTTTTTAATGCTAAACAAGAGTTCCCATCAGCCCCTCCCCTCTGTGCTGCTCTGGCTAATGAGGAAGTAGTAGCCCGAGCAGCAATGGGAAGGTGTGCTTGGTCAATAAATGCATGTTTGTGGGTGTGTGTATATATATATATATATATATATATATATAGCTAATCCAATCGACACTATATATAATTTATTTGCTATACGTTACATTAGCAGATCTATAGCAATGACCAAAACTTGAGCAATTCAAAAGCTGTGTGATGTGTAGCCAGAATATTTGAATTTTATTTTTTATTTAAGTATGTTTTTGTGTATTTCGAAGCTCTCTAGCTTCCCATATCCCTACAGAACATTGCATATATTTCAAACCATTTCCTATCATGGGAAAATGCCTCCTTGCACATGCTCTCCTGTGGAGTAGCTGCACTTACTTTGGTCTCACATGTATAATAAAGATCACACACCATATTACTAATTGACATAATTGGCGCCCAATAAATTACCTGCTCAATCAGGCTTCTGATGTGAAATTGTAATGTGCGGTTGAGGTTTCAATACGTACGGACTAAAGTAACATTTTAGGGAATTCGTAGATTAACTTCCGGGGGATGTTCGGAAGTACTTTCAGTTTGCCTAAAGTATTCCCAGATGCTAATATAGGAATGTTTGATCACGAATATTTCTGGGAACAAAACTTCCGGATGTGCACAACAACATAACAGTTTAAAGTTGTTTGCATGAAAATCTCCCGTATCAGTATATTCCTCTCCGGGAGATAATATTTTCTATCATGCAATATGTGCCAAAACTAAAAAAAATGGTTACATTTCTGATCTATATACCTGATTTGATTATCAAGTCACGTTTTACTGCTTGTTTCTGCTGAAGTGGATTTATTTTAGTTAGGTTGGTGTGATTATTGTATTATCCTGTGATGACCAAATGCAAGAAATACAGTTTGATCTATGCAGGCCACGTACCAGCACAGAATATCTGATCATTTAACACCATTTTTTCTATAGTGGCCTGCTAATATTAACTGAGTGGGACATTCAATTTCAGTGTAAGCTCTTTAAGAAGGTGGGTTCCACACCTCTCAAGCAGGAGAAGCCGGATGTCAGGTTATTCATTATAGGAACTATTCATTGACTGGGTGTTCTCAGCAGAAATTTTCAGCCAATAAATGAACGCCAACATCCAGCTTGTCCTGCTCAAGCAGGCTATACTGATTATGGTGTTTGAAGTGCTACTTTAATTAATAGTCGATTCAAATTTTGATAAATAGAAATGAAGGAAAACCTGTTTAACATTTCATTCATCTTTGGAAAAAAGAGTTGATTACCGGTAGATTAATTAAAATAGAAATGATTGTTTATGGACCTTATTGAATACATATACCTAATATGTAACCTGAATATGCCACACCTGTATAAATCACTAATTCAGGGATAGCCTGCACATCTCCGGATAGTTTTACCCCATTTGGTACCGGTCCATTAGTGAACTAGTGAAGGATACATTCAGAATCCAAAATTCACTCTTGTTTATGCTATTTAACAATGTGCTGTTTTGCTGTGAAGTCTACGAATGAGCCTGAATATGGTCCTGATTTCAGCTGAACTAAACTGTCCCGGATGGCTTTCAATGCAGGCCTAGGCTTGAGTGAGTGAGTGAGTGCCAATAAAACTATCTGTAAATGTATATGTATATGTATGTATATATATATATATATATATATATATAAATATAATATGTGTGTATATATATATATATATATATATATATATATATATATAAATAGGTTATGGTGGTGAAAAACTGTGATTGAAAACCCCTTCCACCTGCATTAACAATGAAACAGCTGTCCATGAGTGGTTTACTGGCTTTGCATCTTTTCCTAAGTTTCAAAGCTGTTGTATCCAGCAAACACAGACTCAAATGAATCCATGTTTAACCCCTTAATGACCGAGGACGGTTCAGGACCGTCATCTGCATTTTTGCGTTGCCGAACCGGTGATGGTCCTGAACCGTCCTAACGGTGTAATGTACTTACCCGATCGCCATCGTTCCCCCGGCGGCGATCGGCGGTGCTCCCGGTGTGGGAGACTGCCTGCA